TTTTATTTTTTGTTTTTCTTTTAAAAATTGCATTTCACGCTTTTTTTTCTTGTGTTTTTAACAAATATAAACATATTTTTAATACTGCTGCACCGCTGGCGTTTGCCCGGCAACCCTGTTTATTTGCGGTAGTTGCAGTTGATAATTTTCAATTGTTCGCGAAGTGTTGCTTTTTATTGTTGTTGGGCTGGTTGGTAGCCAAAAATGTTGATGATGAGGTGTTAAATGCGAAAATTGAGATAAATATGGATTTTGATATGTAGAAATGTTTGTTTTTGTCTATACAACTATACATAAAACATACTTATATATACAGATATCACATAAGGCTTAAAAAAAAATGCCTCTCGCATGCAAACAGGGATTATTTTTGGGCTGTGACAGCCTCAGGCTCGAGCTGATTTTTTACTCGATTGCAAGTTTTTATTTACAATACAATAACAATTACCATTGCCATTGCTGCTTCCGTGGCAATAATTATGCTGTCTGTTGTTTCTGAGGCCTTTATATGTATATATTTATATACTATATATATATACATATTATTTTGTTATATATTTATAGTCTATAACTGCTATCATTTAATTCTGGTCATCAGCAAGTCGCTTCAGCTAACAACGCGGAGTTTAAGGGGTTTTATCCATTTGTGAGTTTCAAAAAATCCATTTTGTTTAATATGTATATATTATTGGAATTTTATTCGAAAAATAATTTTGAAGATATGAGCATAGACATTTTTTCTGAACGCTGTTTCCAGCATGTGTGAGGAAAATTTGTTCAAAATGCTGGACCGATCGACATGAAAATTTCCCAAGTTCTTCTTAGATGTGTATGTACTTGTCAGATAATGATAGAAGAAATAAGAATTTCGATAATAATTTATATTTTTTAAGTTTCTCTGCTGCAAAACACAACTTTTTTTTGTTTGGAAACCGCCATTTTGTCAACCATAAAAACTTTGTTTAGTCCTTCGGCCATTACCGGCACTCATCGATAGTAATAATATTTCTCTTTAGATTTTGGATTTAAAATAGTATTGAGCAAAAAACCTTTTTAAGGAGATCATCCTGGAGATCGATTATTAAAGTAGATAAAATTATTTTAATATAAATTCTATTTATAAAATTTCTCTTAAAAACAAAATCACAAAAAAACCTTTTTTCTGACTTGCAAATGGATAAAACCTCTTAGAGATTCCAAGGCATTGCTCGCATCCTTTAATTACAGGCGTTTCCTTAAAACAAGGTATTTAAGGTCTCTATACTATTTAAGTAACATATTCACGTATAATTTCTTGATGGTAGTTTGGTTGTACATTTTCGTTGCGCCATGACTCGAGTTTTTTGTCTATTCTGCTGCTTAAAATAAAATTCATGAGTTTGTTGTTGAATTGTGAAAATATTTTTTTAAACTCGTTTTATAATCAGAAATCCTTGATTTTAAATCAAGAAATTGGACCGCTACGCTAAAAACAAAAAAATTCTCTTCGAAACTTTTACAATTGTTAAACACCAAACTTTCAGCATGAGTTTATGACTCAAAGCTTTTAAATGCAAAATATGATATAGAAAGAATGAGCTATAACACTAATACAAAAAATTTATTTACTCAAAGAAAGTCTAGTATATTCAAAAAATAGTGTTTTCAAAAGCTACAAGCTATAGTATCAAAATAGCTAGGCATAAAAAGTTTAATTATTTCTGCAAAAAATTATTTATGACAGCTTAAAAAAGAATGAGAAATTAGTAGAAACAGTAAAATTTGAACATATCGGTTAATATACTATAATTTAGTTTTTTTTTACAATATTATCGTTATATTAGCTTAAAATCTATTATTCGATTCAGTATGTCAAAACTATTTTATTGGCTAAAGCCCCAGGGTTTTTATCTTAGGAATTTATTTAATGTTTTCTTAACTCTTTTATATTTTGTGATGAAATATGATGCTTTTATGATTTATATGTTCTATAGAGGACAATAAACGTACTAGCGCAATAATTGATATATTTAAAAACTAATTATTTCAAAATAATCCATTTTAAATCCAATTCTGCAGTAATGAATTCTGACAATTGTCATCCTTTGATATTTGGTTAGTTTTTAGAGTGCATTGCGGATATTGTTTATCTGCACTTTAACTAAGAAGCCTGTAGAAGAACGTTGAGTAAAACCCGAAGAAAGATGACGAAACATAGTTTAAAAACTGTTGCTAATTCAGAGTAATAGTATATATGATTATATATTAATCTTGAATTGCTTAGGAATACAGTTATCGGGAATAAATTAAAGAGTTCAAAAAATGTTGTACCATTATGATCCCTTCAAGAATAACAGGAACCCTTTCTACCATAGAACCTCTTACTGTACCAAAATATGTCAGACCTGAGTTCAGGAGGTTTTGACGTTTAACAATTGCTCTCTCATTTCCAGTGGAAGATGAGTTGTGCATCTCTTTATCTCTGGTTCCTAAATTATTTGTAACGGTTACAAGGAGATATATTATTAGAAGCCTTGTGTTAATAGTAAAAAAATCATTATTTTGCAGAACGGTAGGTGTAACGAGAATATACCACGTCGCTTAAATTACCGACTTATGCAATCGAACATTCACTTTGTAACAGTTATGAAGTAAAACAGCGAAGTATAAAGCACTGTTATTTTCATTGTTGTTTTAAATTATGCAATCGAATATTTTTCATTGCAAAATTTGTGGAATCTTGCAGCCTAAACGAAACTCTTTTAAAAACCTCTTTCCACAAATATTACATAAGTAAATAAGCTGGCAACTACTCGCTTGAAATTTTAACATTTAAAGAAAAATATTTACTTTAAAGTGTTACATTAGCATGTTTTATTTAGTTATGTACATACAAGTATATAGCTGGTCTATGTGTATATTATGTATATATATGTTTTCATGTGTATAATATACAGGCATGTATTAATTAAGTATGTACAATCGCATAGGGCTTTCATATGTGATATATAAAACTATATACCCTTATTATATGTATATAAAATGTTGTATATATATATGTATATACTACACTTTTTTGTGTGGAACATATGCTTATGTGTTAGCGCAATTATTTATATGTATAATATATTTGTATGTATGTGTGTGTATTTGTAAAAATTTACCAATTCTTCCATGGGCCAATCGCGTAAGTATTGCTTAATTAAACGCCGTATTATGGTGATTGTTGTTGCCGCTGCTGCTGCTTGTTGGTGATGCTTTGTTGGTATGTGATGGAGGGGCGCTGGAAAGCTTACGGCCACTGCAGTTGTCGCCGGCTGTCGTCTGCTGCCTGTTGTCCGTTCGCTGCTGCTGCTATTTATAACAACTGATTTGTTATTGTTGTTATATGATTTATATGTATGTGTATATAACTGTTTTATATGTAATAACGTCGTTTTATGTTTGTTAAAATAATTCAAAAGCAAAAACTGAAATTTACTTTTTTAATTATCTGGCAACTGTGTTTGTTGGCTGATCGCTTGTTGTTGTTGGATATGCTTACTTGCAAAACTTTTTTGTCGCTTTATAACGTTTACTTGCTGCAAATTTTACGCGTTGCATGCCACACACGCTTACGTTGGTGGCATATGTGTCTTCAGTAGTTGTTGTTGTTGTGATTTTGGTTTAATTTCTTTAATATTTTGTTAATTTTTGCATTATTTTCTCTTAGATTGCACTTTATGTTTGACTACATATATATTTGTGTCTTTGTAAAATTCTAAAAACTGATTTTCGTATGCCAACTTATTTGTTTTTGTAATTTTTTTAATTTTTATAAATTATTATAATTTTTTTTGTTTGTATATATATGTTCTTTTAATATATATTTATAAGTTGTTTATTACTTTTGTATACTTTTTTCAACTCAACAAAAATATATGTATATGTGTGTGTATTTTTTTATTATCAACAAAAATGTTTAGTTTTCAAAAAACCTGCGAATAAGCGAAATTTTAGTGAATTTATTTTTGGGTACACTGTTTTCAAGCCAAAACCAAAAAATAATAATAATTTATCTTGGCCTATAGGCGGTCAACAAATTAAAATAAAGCATTTTGTTTGTCAAATTGACACGCATTTTCCAAATCGTACGTCGGGCAACGCGTGAAAATAATGCGTCCGCTGCGCTTTCTGGCGTCGGAGCGCGTTTTGCACCTGCTTGGAGGTCTTTGCTATATATGCGTAGATTTTTAGTTACACTTTAGGCGCGTTTTTGTGAAATGTGTCTTAGTTTTTATTTCCGCACACCGAAAAAATCACCAAATCAGCACGTTGACGCATATAGAAAAAAACAAATTTCGGTATAATAATTAAGCCAAAACTTTGTGTAGGCTTGCTTAATTTATACCAAATTAATGCTGACCGTGGCAGTTAGTTGAATTTTTTATTTACTTTCATTATTGACACGATTTTCTCATGTACAGTTTTAATTTTGTGGTTGTTTTTTTAAATATTATATATTTTTTATTGAAAATATTTGTATGCGTCATTTGCGATAAACACTGCCAAAATCATTTTGGACTGATTTCATTTCATATTTTTTGATATAAGAAATAATTAGCAAACAATTATTCTGGAAAAGAATGTCATTTCTCTGAAAATTTTCATTACATGCATCGCTGCTTATAAATATTGCCAAAATTATTTTGGAATGATTTCATTTCGCAATTTCTGTATAAAAAAATATTATAAATTTTTAATAAAAATTAAATAAATATTGCCAACAGTTATGTGAGTGACATTCACTCTGAAACTTCCCAAATTATGCGTCATTAGCAATAAATATTGCCAGATAGTAATTTTCAGTGATTTCATTTCATTATTTTGGATTTTAAAAAATATTGCCCAAAAATTCTTTTGCAGTGCATTCAGTTCATTAATTTCGATTTTAGAAAATATTGTTAAAAAAATTGCTTGGAGTGATTTCCTTTAATAATTTTTGATAGTTTGTTAAAAAAAAAATTATGTGTGAAATTCGCTCTGAAACACTCCAATTCATGCGTTATTAGTTATAAAGCACTTATGAATATTGTAAAAATTATTTTAAAGTGATTTCATTTCACAATTTTTGATTTAAAAATTTATCACCACCAAAAGTACCATAAAGCCGACCATCCATAAACAAAAATTCACGGAAATTTTTTTTAGATAAAACAAGAAATAATTAACGCTGGACCACAGACCAAGCGAGGGTGGTGTGGCGAAGCAAATAAAAAAGAAAATAAATCAAAACAAAAGCTCAGAAAAGATGACAAATATGAACAAGAAAAAATCAAAAAAAAAATCAAAAAAAAAAATGACATAAATAAAAATCAACAGCGACTCCTCGAAAAAAGGAAGAAAACAACAAAACTAGCAAAGAAAAAAATAACAAAATGTTGCAACGAAAATTTGGTGAAGAAAAAATTCATTACAAATGGAAATAAGTTGCCAAAAGTAAATTGCAATTTGCGTGCCCGAAAAGACAAGAGAAAGAAATAGCTGCTGCAAAATGGACAGGAGAAAGCGAGCAATACAAAAAAATAAGCTAAAAGTGAGTACAAAAAAGAAAGCAACAAAAAAAATCATGACAAGGAAAATAGTGTGCAGACTGACGGAAATTGAAAAGCTGAAAAAATAACGAAACGAAAAAATGCAACAAAATTAAAATAAACTGAAAATAAATGCAGACAAGAAAATACCTACCAAAAAAAAAAGTGAAAAAACAACAAAAAAAGTCGCTCATTAACCGCCGTCGCTATTTCTACTATTTCTCGCACTACTTTGTTGTAATTCTCTGGCTACCGACAAACTGCGATTTTTGCCCAAAAAGCAAAACTAAATAGAAAGTAGAAAAAACTCAAGGAAGATGCTAGTAAGCGAGCGAATACCGCCGGCTAGTCCTGTCCAGCGCGAGCGGTGGCAGCGCCAAGGTGCGCCTTGTGGCATTGTGATTTTTTCTCGGGCATTCACAGGAGGGTTTGTGATATATGTATATATATGTGTATGTGTGTGAGCTGAGTTAGCAAATGTTTCGTCAGACTGTTGCGGGTGGCAGTTGGGGTCAAGCCGAAATGAGAACTGACAAAAATCGTTGTCTACGCGCCGCTGCTTAGCATTACTCATTTTTCACAAGTTACTTTTTTTGTGGCTTGATAAAGTGGGAAAGCACACGGTGGTTTTGCCGAGCATTAACTATGCGCTTTTAATTCGGAGTACTCGAATACAACGAAAACAACAGTTACTCTTAGTTGTAATGGTTTATGACCACCATTTTGGCAATGCCGCGTTAATTGAAAAGTTGTGTGAGGAATTTTAACAATTCGTTGTTGTTGTGAAATGGTTGCAATTCAAAATTATATTACTTTTTTTTTACAGGGAAATTGAAAATTATTTTGTTTTAGTATTGTTTATTATTATTTTAATTTTAAATTTAGTTACTAAGAATTTTATAGTTATTTCCTGTTTTATAATGTTGTGAACCAACGTAATCTAAATTCAAATTTATTTTATTTATAAGTGGCACAGTGTGGAAAATGCTTTGTTGTGTCTTTTTAATTATTTAATTTACTAAATTTTTCAATCTGCTTGCATTATTTTAATTTTTTTAAAATTATTTTTTTATTTATATTGAATACGCTATTTTAGTTTATTTTAAATTAAATAGTATGATTTTTTTATATCGTTTTGTTTTGGTTTAATTTATTATATTTTATTCGAAATTTTTTATTAAATATTTTTAATACAATTTAGTTATTTTGTTTTATTTACTTTACTAAATTTTTTCGGTCTAGTTGCATTAACATTTTTTTTATTTTTCGATTTATATTTTTTTAAAATAAACTTAATATTTTAAAAAAAAATTTTACTTCGCAATTTTAGTTTATTTTAAATTAAATTAGTTTTATTAAAATATTTCTTTAGTTTTCTCTTGGTTTATATACTGTATTTTTATTTAAAATATATTTTTATACAATTTGTTTATTTTGTGTTATCTAATCAAATTTTTTATAACAAATATTATTTAATATAATTTAAATATATTATTTATAATATATTTACATTTTTAGTTTTTTTTTACATTTTGCTCGACAGTTTTGCACTTAATTGTATTGTTTTTGTTTATAATTGTTTTCCTAATATTTCTTTTTTGTTTAATATATATATGTAATCATTATACTTTACTTCATTTTAATATTGTTTGATTTTGGTTTAGTCAAGAATTTTTTCTAGTTAATTTCCTTTTAATTTTATATTTATTTTAGATATTCTTAAGTCATATAATCTAGAGATAAACATTTTCCACACATCTAACACTTGTTTCTGTTGTACTTTACATTTCTATTGTTACTTTCAAATCCACTTATTTGCTTCTCTAAAAATCTTATCCAATATTTATTCGTAATTGAAAGTAAAACGCCTCAAACGGTAAAATCACAATCAAAATTATGAGAATTGCCAAATAATTTAGAACCCTCGTTGACTAAAAGTAAGATTACGAGCGTGGCATTTGAAATATTTTAAAAACAATTCCAATTGGAAAGGAACACTGGCAAAGATGAGAGCTTTATGTTTTGAATCGGCGGTGGGGAGATTCCTAATGAGTTTTACAATTTTTTTCGGAAGCCCATTTCTTCAAGATTTCGTAGAAGAACATGAAAAGGTAATCTAGCTCAACCGACTTACTCTCGATAAAATTTTTATGCTGAAAGCACTGAGTCAAGAAATTGCTCAGAGTCTACTGGGATAAATTTGGTTCGCTGATTTTTATTTGAAGGTTGTTATAAAACAGTTTACACACATTTTATTTTCGATATGATATGTAGGTTTTAAAAGTACTATTTTGAAAAAAAATTTTATTTTTTGTTAAACTGGAGTATTTTTTTTAGACCGGTTCAGTGCCTAGAACTGCAGATATAATTCCCACCTTAATATATATGTAAAATTTGTCTAAAGAAAAAATCTTTTTTGGGGTAAAGTTTCCTTTCGTTGAGACACAAATGTTTATTTTTATAGTATTTCACTTTGGTTCAAAATGAAATAATAGCTTTAATTGACAAGATTTAGACATATATTATTGAATTAATGCAGTAAAAGAGGCTTGTATGAAGAATTTTTTTATTCACTAATTTAGTTTTAACAATAAAATGGGACAGGTTGAAATAGCAAAACTGGACTTCTAGCAGACTTCAAGGTCATACCAAAAAGCGCTTCACAGCGCGCTCGCAAATTGAAAAACCTTCTGTGAAGAATTGAATTTCTAAACTTTTTATAACAAGAAATTCTAAAATAACCACTATTCGTTAGGAATAAATGGACAACTGAACTGAATGAGATACAAATTAACAACATAGACCTTAACCGAGAGAGCTTTTATAATCTATATAAAATCTACATATGTGATCGAGCATTATTCAATAAATGGTGAAGGCCGTCTTTAATTATCTCACATTATTTCAATATAAAAATTGCTTGATCGTAATTTTGATCAACTTGAGTTAAACGCTTAAAGATTTTGGCTGATCTTAAACAAATACAACTAGCATAAATTCTAGTTTGCATAGTATATTTAGGGCGAAGTCTGGAAGAGACTTGAAATAAACTTTGTGTATGTAGTAAGCAGAAAATATTATTTGGAGAGACTGTGAAGGGGATTAATAATTATCTGTTCAAACGGTCAAGTTTTGATCATGAACTAGACATATGTTTAGAGTCGGTATTTTATTAAAGTACAAAAAAAAAAATTGCCATCGTCTTAAAAATTAATAATTTTTTTTAAGACCATGTGGAGTTGGAAGTTTCAAGTTTGTCTCGTGAAACTTAAGAAATTTTAGCAGCGCAAATTCTTTATTTGACATTTTATTCATGGATTTCATGTTATAATTTATTTTATATTATTTCCGATGTAGCTCTGACATATATATATTTAATACTTGCAAGCATGCAACATTCAACAGTTAATCTCACATTTAACACTGTCTAAAGACCAAAGTATTTGAAGCGCGTCACTTTCATTGGATATTAATTTGGATTTATAAACAATTGTTGATGAAGCGTTATCTATTACACAGACACATTTCATATTTTTGGGGTTTGACGCTGGATTTCAAGCCTCAGCATTTCTTATAGCACTGTATTTTAGGACAATTTGCCACACACATATTTGGCGTATTTATTTTTGTTATTTTATGTTAACACTAAAACATTAAATTTTGCATATAATTTGACAAAATTTTAATTTTATTATTTAATTATTTTTATTAGTTTTAAACGATTGAGTTCTCAGCATATAACCCATGCGCTTACGCTTTGTTTACTTTTATTTATGGCAAAACACTTGAACTCGCAACTTGATTCCCGTTATAAAATTTATTTGGCGCTCTAAATTTTCTTAAGCACATATTTTATTTGAATACTTTTTCCCATATAATATTAATTTTTTGTGAAGCTTATTGCAATTGCACTGTGGGTCACTGCACATTTATTTGTGATTTTCAATTTGCAATCAAATCGACGAAAATTTATTTTCAATTATTAATTTTATTTTCGAAATTTATTGTCGGAACTTAAAATCACAAATGAAAGAAATCAATAACTGTAAAAAATGCACTAAATATTGTTGACGCGTTGTTAACGCCACACCATCACCGACTGTTCAAAGAACGACGCAGGCAACGAGAAAGCAGGAAAACGCTCGACAAGTGTAAAATTAAGTAACAATCGTGAAAATAACGTGAAAAATAGCCATCAAATATAATAGTAATAGTAACAACGTCAACGGTGCGCCGGTACGCGTACGCGACTGCACAACAGAACAGAACAGAACATTTGAGTGGCGACGGCGCGCTGATTCGCGGTACACGACGCATACGACGCGCGGTGTTTTGCGTGCAAATGGTGAGTGATGATGATGGTGGCGGCGGCGGTGGCGGTTGCACGGCGGCGTGCAGCAGAGAGGGTGGTGGGCAGTGAAGGTGGTGCTGCGACGCGCTGCATAGCAATAAAATAGCGTATGCACTGTGGGCTGGTGTGCAGCGCGGCGAAATGTTTTGTGCGGCGCGCGCGTGTGTGTGTGTGGGTCTTAAGAATTGTCAAAATTTGCGTAGTATGTAAAGCGTGTTGTATTTTTTCGATTTTTTTTTTAAATCAAATTTTTATTTTTTTTTGACGTTGACCGACGGCGGTGCTAGCAACAGCGGAATAACACAAGCTTGCGGTGTTGACTTTGAATAGACTTTGTTATGCCGTTATGCCTAGTGTTTGTTATTGTTGTAATTGTTTAACACTGTAGCTTGTTCTTACTGCGGCACGCAAAATGCGAATTGCAACAAGCGCGCTAGTAGCGGAAGTATGGCGCGCTCGCGATGGACAGACGCGCGTCAAAAGAATAAATTCAATTTCCTTCTTTTTTGAGCAGCTACCACTGGCACGGCTGCCATTGCTGTTGCAGTTGCTTACGCTGCTGCTGTTGCTGCTGCTACTGCTCACAAGCACAGTTGCGCGCACACACGCACACACACATACACAATATTCACATACATGCAAGCGGCATTG